AATAGATAAAGTGCGGCCTTTAACACCTGAGCCAAGGTATGTAGGTGTCAGAAAGCTATTGAAAAGTTGTCAAAATTCGCCAGAAGTTGATAAAATTCTAGCAGTACTGATCCAAGCAGGAGGTAACACATTAACCTATGTTCTGAAATCCATAAATTTACCACATGCAATTCTATTCGTAACAAGGAAGATTAGTGAGGGTAGCTCAAACGTCTGTAAATGTGTCCATTAAAAAAGCTCGACAAATCTGAATATCATTATTTCCAACTACGTAAAAAAATCCAGCAAAACATTGTTCTCTCTATGTACCTTCATATATATAAGTTACTGGTGATCATCAGGGTGGACTTCGAAGCAATGAATTAACTACCGATCAGATATTCCGTGCTCGTTTGGCAGTAGAGAAAAAACAAATAGAATGTTACAGCACATCGTATTTACCGTTTCCCAGGAAAACCATAATCTAGTTAGGAGAGAAGTAACGTACAACACTGTCATTGAATTCAGTGCACCAATGAAAACAGACAAATTAAAATGTGTTTAAACGAAACAAATAGTAAAATCCGTGTATCTAAACATCTGTTTGATGCATTTCCCATTGGTCTGAAACAAGGAAATATTTCATCACTACAGCTTTTCAACTTTGATTTCCAATACCCCACGAGGAAGGTTCGAGAAAAAAAAAGATTGGAATTGAATAGGTCACCAAAGATTCTGTAAAATATTGGTGATTCCAATTTATCGGATGAAAGCATAAATAGACCTATCACAAAGAAAAGAACAGAATTTTATCAGATGCCAGTAAGGAAGTTGGTATGGCTGTCTTCTGGGTTGTAGCATCGTCTAGTCTGGCAGAAGTTTACCAACGTTTCAGAGGTCCTTGCTGCATCCATCATCAAGGCGATGATTTACCGCCGTGAAAACCTCAAATCCCATTTAATTTTACACATTATAATTCACCGTCATCACAAAGCTTCAGACTTCATCCGTAAGGTTTATATTTGACCTACAAGGTCCCATGTTACAGTACCTCGACTCAATAATTTAAAAAAAAATCCATGGAAATCAGACCAGAAGTTTCGCAGAAAGAACAACCGGACACAGCCCCTCATTGTTCGTCTAAGTTACACGCTTTGCAAAGAATGTACAAAATTCCACTAGGACGCGTTCCAACAGTACAAATATTAATGTTTTCCTGGTTTCTCGAAATACTGCATGGAAACAGTTTCGTACAAATAAGTGCACTGAAAATAGATTGCGATTGGACGGATAGAGTGATAGTCACACAAGCTAATAATAAAGTAACGGCATCGGAAATAAGATACGTATACGTGACTACAGAGACTGACGATGAATAGCCTTCGGGTTCCGTAAGCCATCTAGTTAGTTAGTTAGTTAGTTAGTTATACGTGATTACAGATGAGTCAAGAGACAGAGAAATATCAGGAAGATTTCTGTCTTCTGGGTTGTTGCGCTGTGTAGTCTGGTCGATGTTTACCAACGTTTCAGAGGTCATACTGCCTCCGTCATCAGGACGATGGTAAACACCGACCAGACTACACAGCGCAACAATCCAGAAGACAGAAATCTTCATACTCGCCGCTGTGAAAACTTCAAATCTTATAAATATCAGGAACTTATACAACGAATCTAGCGCCACCAACCGAACTTCATCGTTCCTTACTTCTTCAGTCCCATGTTTAACAGAGGAGACAAAATACTACAATTACAACCATAAAAGCAGTCAGTTAATCGCATGTGTCCTCAAATACCCCCCACCCCCCTCACAAAATCATATTGTTGAATCAATCTCTACCTTGCACTGTATACGCCTTCAGCCAGTCACATTATTTTTAATAATAAAGGTTTCAGCGGATTGTAATGAAAGACGTGCTATTACCATGAAAAATATAGTTACCATTTAGTAACCAAGGACGGATTTTCGTACGGAAAATTCATTCCGCGTGAATCAAATATGGAAAAGTTATAAAGTGCACAATAAACGTCCCAATAACAACGACAGAGTTCAAATGTCATTCCATAAGAAGGTGTGTAGGTTCTCGATGGTGGAAAACAAAGAATGCGAGAAGAAAATTCAATTATTTTAAATGTTTATAGGAAGAGAAAAATTCGAATATACGATTAGTACTGAAACAGTATACATGGCTGACAGAGTTTACCGTTTTGTTTTACACGTTCAAATGAATGTAGAAAAATTTACTGCATTTTGCGCATGAAAATTACATTCCGTTATGATTTATACAAAGAGTGCTTGTGGACGTCAAACAAGGATAATATACGAATCCACGCTTTAAACTTGACCTTACACAGAGAGGAGGAATTTTCACCTTGATCTTTGGCGACAGTATGATAATAAAGATGAAGTCGACAGTGAGCTGAGGGGACCTAGAATTTAAAGTGGAATCCAAACCATGTGGAGAATCCTGTACTGGATATGGCCGGCCAAGAACCCAAAGGTCCACACTCTTAACGTTAAACTACCATATCAATTCCAGGTCTGAATATTTAGCTACGTTATGAGCACCGCTGTCTTTTAGTGCTGGCTTTTGGGGAGGACGAAAAGATTATCGATCCTTACCATTTTCTCCCAAATTAATAATAAAGGAAATGACGTAACAAAATACTTACTATGTTTCTCTCTTCGAAAGTTGGGACTTGTTCAGTACATATTCATGAAGTAAAGCGATGGTCAGGAAGGATCATATATGACGTAACCAGAACAACAGAAGACTAACGGAGTGAACCATGAAGCATGGAAAAGAAGATTGTCCCAAAAAACTGAAACACTAATTGAAACTTCCAACTATCAGAGGCCATGGAATTGGAATGACTCATGAACTTAAATGAGGCCTTCAGGAATTCGATGAAACGCTTCTGAATCACGTATGAATTCAATACACCTTAAACATCACAGAGGGCCCTGCAAAAATCACTGGACAGGTTTTCGATGAGATACGATCTCCAATTAAAGCCGTGTTGTACGCACAAAGCACTGCTTCTAATGGTACCACGAATGGCAAAGCTAGTTTAAAGTAACACCAATAATAACAGACAGTGCTGTGGGAACCAAACTAAAAAGTTGAGTGATTCAATCCTCTATACCTCTTTTTGTGTTCTTGGTAGTAAAGTAGTGAAAAGACGTCATACATCAGGAGTTATCAGCCTTTACAGACCAAGGGTGAAATTCATAGTTATCATCAACAAGGTTATACATTAGGGCAGTATGTTGAAAAGCCATAGCAATCTGTTGAAGAGTCCTACCAAATTTAGCCAACTAATCAAAATTGACTCGCATAATACTGCATTTTCTTTAACAAAAGTGAGTACGATATTTCACTGTTTCACTCTACTTTTGTGTGAATACTTTTCTATATCAGGTCCAATTTCTGCTACTGCGATTCTCACGCAACCCTCCAAGGGTTCATCAGTTGGCAAAACGTCCTAATTCTTGATTTGCCGTTGTTCACGATGCTGCACACTTGCTAACAGCTGTAGTTACCGTCAAATACAGACGGCATTAACAAATGTTTTTCTAATATCGGGACACATCCACAAGCCTATGTTCTGTACCAAATAGCTATTGCCTGTAATTGGTACTCTACCGTGAGCAGAAAATAATAAAATTATAAGGACGTAGCGTGGATTCGACTTTACAGGTGCCGCCACACTCTGTCTCGTGAATAATTCGTCGTAGAAAAGTGTCGATCAAAATATAAAAAACATCTTTAAAACACAGTCCATCGGAATCTTTCACGTACGAGGGCTGTTCTATTCCTTGAGGTACATGCATCCATGTGGCTGGATCCTGACGCTGCCCTTCATTATTTACCCCCGGACATCCCAGCCGCCAATTCGTGGAGGCTCCTGACCCAAGCCAACGAACGGACCAGCCATTCCCTCCCCCACTGAAGTCAAGTAAAGTAAGAATCGATAATACGGAAACCATGCAACCTTGCTGCGAACAGGCAGGGGCTATCTACCTACTTTCCTGCTTTACCAAGGGGAAGAAATGGAATGGAGATACCTGCTAGACAGGCATAAGGCGCTTCTCACAAAACCCTCCTCTCCGTACATTATTGTAGCTTGGTTATTTGTTTTAATTTGATTACTGCTTTTATTTTAGTATTGTTTTAGTACTTTCCTTAGTGTTTTACATTTATATTAGTGTTTACATTGGTGGTTTATTTGTTTTTGTATTTAATTTGTATTTTTTGTTGTACTTGTGTATTAGTGTTTGCCTGTCATAAGCTCTTTGCTGTTGGCAAACACTCTAATAAAGGAATTGGACAGAATTTACTTATACTCCGCACTGTGTCCACAGGATTATGCACCACAACTCAGCAACACTTTTCCTGTTTCCATTTAAATCAATGAAGTACATTTTAAGTTTTCAGCAGCGTGTAAAATTTAGAGAAGAAATTAGCTCAGATCTGTTAACAATATCGTTGAAAAATTCGGACTGATACGGCTTCGTTTGACTTTTTTCACGTTCCCGAAGTCTTACTCCTACGTAATCCAGGTGCGTTCTACTTAACCGTAGCCTTACAAAACGGTGAAAAATTAATTATTTGCTGTGAGTAAAACCAAACTCCATGATAGGAAGTTTGAGAGAAATGGTATTTGTACCGCCTAATTTATGATGTACTGCCATGAATTTAATGAAATTGTAAACATGCCATGAGAAACTGTACTGCTATACTTCGACATCAGTGGTCCTGATGATGGAGACAGAGAAGGTCCCTGAAAAGTCAGCGAGTTTTATCCATATGACACAGCTAATAGCCCGAGAGGATTTTATTAATTCAATTCGCCTTGACAGCTTTAGATAACGTATTAATTTTCTTTCTTCTTCTTTTCCCCACGTCTCAAAAGACATACAAATTTAATATAATAATTTAAATTCGGGCGGAATATATCATCGCTGTGCCGCGTACACGGCAGTTCCAACCTCAGCGGAATGATTCGACATAGACGCTTACCTGTGGCGGCGGCGGGCGGAGGAATATGCAACGGCAAGGACGGCGTCTGGTGTTGTTGACGAGGCGACGGGACGATAACTGTGCCGCTGCTAGGAGGGAAAGACGAGGCGACTTCGGCACCTGGGTCGACAAAAACACAGTAACAGTGATGCTATCTGCAAACGATTTCTGGTAATGCATAATTTTATTTTC